TGTTCTTCAATCAAGTCCTTTAAGTCATGATTTTCAAAAAAAAAAAAAAAAAAATGTACAAGCTCTCATTTGAAGAAGTTCTCACCATCTTGCATTTTCTTTCTTGTTTCAAACTTGTGGGCCTTATTCAGCAAAATTCAAAGCATTTCACATTTTTGAAAAAAAAAAAAAGAAAAGAAAAAAAGAGGTTCTTCAAAGATAAATTCATGAAAGATCCATCTTTTAGGCATTAAAATAATTTGAGCATATAACTTTGGAGCATCACATCATTTTCTCCAAGCATCACACCATTCACTTTTTCTTCAAGCTTCATGGCATTTGCTTTCTTTAGTTTTCTAATTTTCCTTTTTGTGTTTATGTTTCTGTTAGGTAAAAAGGTCTTCTAATCATAGCTCCAAGGCGAAAGTTCTTCAAAAAGCGACATTCTCCATATTTGCTCAGATCTAGAGTAATCAAAATGTCTGAGGAAAATGCTGTTACTAATCCAGAGAAATCAGCCGTGGATGAGAGGGTTGATAAGTTGGAAGCTACAATGCAAACTATGGCTGCTACTCTTCAGACTATCAGTCTCACTTTGTCCACTCTGGCTACTGGTTCGGTTCCTTCACCTCCATCCTTAGTGCCCACAACACCAGCTCCACCCATCCTTATTCCATCATCTACCATATCACCGGGTAATCGTGCTAAAGATCCCATGGTCACACAATTGCAATTTCCATCTATCTATGAGAATCAACCTTTAATGGGGGAGTCATCTTCACATGTGCCACAAATCCCATCTCTGTCACACCCGCCACTTGAGGTGAATGACCCTACCTTGCCTGCAACCACACCTTTTGCTCTTAACATACCACCTTCGATGGGACAAGTACCAACTTTTCAGCCTACTCCTTCAATTGAGATATTCAGGCCTACTTTGGAGATTGGGAAATCAAAGGAGGTCGATCACAAGCTACAACAATTAGAAGAGGCTTTGAAGGCTATGCAAGGGCCACAAGCTTATGGTTCCATTGATTTGGATGATCTTTGCTACTATCCGGGAATTCAGACAAATTTCAAGTTCAAGCAGCCGGATTTTGACAAGTATGATGGCTCAGGTTGTCCTTATGCCCACCTGCAGATGTATGCCAGAAAGATGGCACCTTATGCTAATGATGAGAGGGTACTCATTCATTATTTTCAAGATAGTCTCTCAGGCCCAGCAAGTGTTTGGTTTTCAACTCTTGACAAGAAGAAGATTCGTACTTTCAAGGATGTGTCTCAAGCTTTCATGAGGCAGTATGAGTATAATATGAGTTTGGCCCCTACAAGGGATAGCTTACAGAGAATTACCAAGAAGAGTAATGAGACCTTCAAGGAATTTGCTCAACGGTGGAGATCCGAAGCAGCTAAGGTCATTCCACCTCTCACCGACAGTGAAATCTGCTCTCTCTTTATCAAGTCGACTACCGGGACCTTCCGTGCATGGTTAGCTCCTTGTGTGGGATATACTTTTGCTCAGCTAGTGACAGCGGGTGAACAAATTGAAGATGGACTTAAGACAGGTATAATTATGGACTTTCAAGCCATCCAGAAACAGTTAGAACAAGTCAAAATGGGTAATGTCGGATCAACTTCAAAGAAGTTTACACCCGGAGGAAGAAAAGAGGATGAAGAAGCTCTGAGTCATATTTCCACTTGTCATGCAAAACCAGTTTATAATGTGGCAAAGATTCCTCATGATCGGCAGCCTCAATTGCAATACACTCCAGCCTTTAAGCCGACCCCCTACTCTCAAAGGAGGCCAAACTTTAATGCTCATGCTCCAGTTAGGCAACAATTTCTATTGACTAATAGGCCAAGGCAATTCACCAAGCTTCCAATCCCTTACAGTGAGGTGTTGAAACAATTGGTGGCAGTGGGTTTGGTGGAGACATTGCAAACGTACCCTATTCGACCACCTTATCCGCATTGGTATGATCTACAAGCTAAATGTGAATATCACAATGTAGTGGGTCATAGTACTGAACATTGTACAGCTTTGAAGCATAAAATTCAAGATCTCATCGATGAGGGTAAACTTCAGCTTGATGCTAAGGATGCTCCAAACATCACCCAAAATCCTTTACCTTCGCATGATGCAGACACAATGAATATGGTCACCTTTGATGAGGTTGAAAAGCCGGTGTTGGAGAATGTCGGTTCTTGGTCTCTTGATGAATTGTTTGCCATCTTGATAGAATATGATTTGATTCAGCCAATTGCGCAAATGAGCTTGAATGTTTCACCCATAATGATTGATGACGCCTTGGTGTGTCCCTACCACTCCAATATGAAGGGGCATGCTTTGCGAGATTGTGAAGATTTTCAAAAAAAGGTTAAGGAGTTGCAAGCAATGGGATCTTTGAAGTTTATGTCTGCTCAAGAGTCAGAAAAATGCATAGCACAGTTTAAGGAAGTGGCTGTGGATGATAGCACTGATGAAATCTGTTCCGATGATGAGGAAGACTATTTTGGCCTCAACAACCTTTTTGGGTCAGCTAACATGACAGATCCTAAGGAAAGGTGGAGGAGGATGCTTGCTGAAAGGGCATTTATGGAAAAGCACCCCAACTTCCAACTCATTCATCATGCAAAAGCTCCAATGGATCCACACGAGTCTGTGCTCCTTGAAACAGTGAAAGAAGAATCACTATGTGACTCATGGGGAAATTTGACTATAAATGCTCTAGATGAGGAAGGACTGGAATTTGATAGGGGAATTTCTCTGGTCAATGGAAGCTCTCAAGCTAATTGGGCAGCGGAACTTCTCCCTGTAGCTTTCATCTCTGAGTAAAAGGAGTCAGCCTCTAGTAGTTTTGCTTGTGACTACGTGAAGGGAGGGATTCCACAAGCACCTTTATATTTTCTGAAATTTATGTTATCATGCTTCTAGTATTCCCATGCTTTCCTTTTCAATGAAACATGTTGCAATCCTATCATTGTAATCATCATCATGATGCAACTTTACTTGAACTTTTGTTGTACAAACCACTCTTTAATGATATATTTCATGAGGTTATCCAGTAACATGTTCTTATCTTTGCTTTATTATCATGTGGCCATTTGTTTACTTCCATCCAAATTTTCAGGCCTGCTAATGATGAATCTTCAAACAGTGATGCTATGTCAGACTTTATATATGAGATGGTTGATCAGACCTATAATGAAAAAGACAATGAAAGTCTTGATCCTTTTCATGAACTAACTCAAATGTTAAGAGAGGAAAAACCAAAGCCGCAACCAAATCAAGAGACAGAAACCATTAATCAGGGTGCTGAAGATGACAAAAAGGAGATAAAAAGGATAGTCTCAACTTGTTTGATGAGAAAAGATTGACAACTCTTTGTCATGGCCAATGTTATCAGCAACGAATGGCAGCAACTTACAACAAGAAGGTCAGACCTAGAGTATTCCATCAAGGAGATCCTGTCTTAAGGAAGATCATGCCAAATGAAAGGGACCCTAGGGGCAAATTTGCATCAAACTATGAAGGGCCCTATGTTGTTAAAGAAGCTTTCTTCGGAGGAGCACTCTTGTTGAAATATCCAGATGTAACTGATTATCATCACCCAGTGAATGCTGATGCTGTCAAAATGTTTCCTTGACTTAGAAAGTTGGAAATCTAATGATGAAAGGCATTGTTTCTTTACCTTAAACAGTTGAACATTGCCCTTTGCTTACCCCTTTTGAGCCAGAAAAAGGTAATCATTCAAATTTACAAAAGCCAGAATGATTTTCTTTCTATTGACCCACATTAATGACCAAGGAAGTGAAGAGAGGAATGTGAGGGGAATATATGGATTTTGAGCCTTTATCCTTTCTTTCATCATAACCTAACCCAAGCCATGTTACAAGCCTATGAAAAGTCCTTATTGGAAGATTTAAAGCTTTCTATGTCAAGGGGCATACATTAACAAAGAAAAGAGAGAGACATCAAAGCTCCAGGCATTGACAGTGGGAAACTTCCTTCTTTTGACCACAAGAGTTAGTTCATGAAAAGGGGAAAGATTTGAAGTGTCAACATTCAGAAAAGGAATGAAATTCTCTCTCATGGACTAAAGGACTGATGGGCAGAGTTGCAAAAGAAAAGATGATCTGAAGCAATGATTTATGGTCTGAATATCTTGTAACCAATTGCATCAAAATTTTCTACTACTAGCCAGACTTATTCTCATCACTGAATGAAGTTGCCCCTTTGATCCTCCTAACCCTACTTGAATCTAGTAAAATTGATGTTTGCAATTATTTTGTTCACATTTATTCCTACTTTATCCTTTCATCAGTATTGGGAATATTAGTTGAGTATGATACATTCATTTCAGTTAATATAATTGTTTATCTAATCAGAATCTCTTGATAAATTTGAAAGGTTGGATGAGGATTACAGGGAGAAAGGAAGCTGAACTCAATGGCTAAAGAGTCACCCATGCTAGCTAAAACTCCAATAGCAAATGAAAGTTCAACTTATTGAGGCAATATTTTCAAATATCTCCTCATGGGAATCAAATGGGATTCTACCTCTTGCATTCAATAGGGCATTCGTAAATGTGAATCTTTTGAGCTGTTACATAGGGATAATCACTAATCGATGACTGTGCAACATGAAAGACACATGACTCTTGTCAAATAGGGACATCCAATATGTTCAGGGAAGTTTCTTAACCTCTCTTCATATGAAGTTTGTCTCACTTACATATGTTTCATGGCTGCAGATCTTTCAATCATTACTTTCATCCAGCCTTTTGGTTGCATTTACACTCATTAGGCCCCCATACTGATGCTCTACTGGTCATTCAACCATACTGATACTCTACTCCTTCCGGTCATTCGACCATACTCATACTCTACTGTTCTGGTCATTCGACCATACTGATATTCTACTGTTCCGGTCATTCGACCATACTCATACTCT